CTCACCACCTTCTGGCTGCTTCAAGTTCTAGACTAAACCAATTCTAGTGCAGCCACCCATCAACTCAGGTAAGCTCCTTCAACTGTCTCTAAGACCCTGAGGGCCCCCTGGAGCCTGAGTTCATGGCCGGCAGTGAAAGAGCCAGAATGGACTGCGCCCCCAACCCCAGTAACCAGGTGGCGACAACCAGGTTGAGGCAACCATGTACCCTGGAGCTTGCGTCTCCCCGCTCCAGGCACACCTCTCTAGCCCTGGGAGTTCAGGATGACAGGACCAGCCTGGCAGTCAGGAGACCTGGCTCTGCCATGCTTCATCCTGTGATGTTGCCCAGATGTCCCTGCCTGGGCCTCTGTTCCCCAAGCCTGTGTGTCACCTTCCCCCAGCAGCCCTTCCTGCCAGAGCCAGGGAGAAAGTGCAGTGTCCAGTCTCCAGAGGGCGGAGATCCAGGCCGCTGATGCTGCTGAAGGAGAAAATGCAGTGTCCAGTCTCCAGGCAGCCAGAGGGCGGAGATCCAGGCCGCTGATGCTGCTGGGGCCCTCAGCAGCGGCGGGGCCTCCAGGGCCCACTGTTGGCTCTACTGTAGAAGGGAAGGTGATGCCCTGCATTGCCCACCACTCCTTTTTCTCTCCGTTTCCCTTCCCCTACCGCTAATGCCCCATGCTTCTCAGTCGTGAAGTGGTCACAAGCTCGAACCTAAACATAGCTGGTTGTGAACACAAGCTCTACCATGTGAGGGCCGTGTGTCCTTGGGTGAGTCATTTCGTCACTCTGAGCCTCAGTTTCTTCATCTAGACACATGGGATGGTGACACCTCACAGGGTTTCAAGGAAGGAACAAGATGACCTTTGAAGAGAGCCTGTCCCAGTGCCCGGCCAGCAGGAGACTCTCCAATGGGCCTCCTTTGCTTTCCCTCTGCTGGACAGTTTTCCAGCTGCTGGACTACTCTCTTCCAGTGCTTAAAGGAAGCTTCTGGGTACGTGACTTTCCAATTGGGCATCAGGAACTCAGCACAGAACTGTTCCTGCTGGAGAGGACAGTGCTGAACCCGCAGCAAGGAGGAGCTTGCAGAGCAGGGGACGTATTTCTGGCTTGCTGGTAGCCTTTCTGGGCACCTCCCAAGTCACACCCTGTGCTTGACTGTCCCTGCACAGAGCTAATTCCACAATCCCTGAAAAGGTCTGCTGCTCCTGTTTGCAAAAATAGTAGTGCCTGACTTGGGAGTGGAGGAAAGGGCGGCCAGATGTTTTCCCAGAGTCACGAGGCCCCCAACCCAGCCTTCTGCTGACCAGCCTGCTTCTCCTGCTCCAGCCCCCTCCCAGCCCCATGCCTTCCCCTCCCCCATCCCAGGAACATCTGGTTCCAATCTTCTCCAGATGCTGTGGCCAAGCTGTTTTATTGCCAATCACCTCAGCTCAGCTTCCTGAAGGCCTCCCTCCATCTTGGGGAATAATTCCTCCTTGTCCCTTTCCTTGGGACCCTAGCCACTTCTTTTCCTAGCATGGAGAAGAGACACATGCTCAAGCCAGATGAAACTGTGAGGGTCCTCAGAGCAGGCACCTCCCCTCCCACTACCTTGGGGGGGACTGTTATTGATCCAGGATTTAAAGAAAGATGCTGGCCTGGAAGGAAAGGAACAGGCAAGGACGTGTGGGTATCTGGGAAGAGGAGACAGAGAATGTGTGTGTGTGTGTGTGTGTGTGTGTGTGTGTGTGTGTGTGTGTGTGTGTGGTGTTGAAAGCATTAGTGCACGTGGCCATGTGTGTGTGTTGTCTGTCTGTGTGTCTGTGCCTGCGCAGCGGAATACTCCACCTGTAACTCAGAGGTGCCCCTTGGTGGCCACTGATTCATTCTCCCTGAGCAGAGCTAACTCAGGGCCTCTGCACTGGACAGTGGCAGCTGCGATCCAAGGCTGTCCCTCACTTTGCAGCTCTCTCTGTGGCCACTGTGGCCGTCTTCTAAATCCAGCCCACAGAGGAAGGGTGTGGGTGTGTGTGCGCGCGTGTGTGTGTGCATGCGCGTGTGCGCGCACCCACACAGACATCTTTCCTTCCACCAGAGGGACGCAGGCCAGAAGGAACCCTAGGGCAGACTCCAGCAGATGCCCGGATCAGGCCTGGTCTGACGGGCACCTCAGGCATCCTGGGGCAGGCGTGTGCCAGAGAGCAGCCATCTGGAGGGACGGAGGAGGAGCAGGTTCTCTGGAGGAACCCTGCATGACCTCTCACCCCGTGTCCACCACACCTCAGCTGGCCACCTTCATCCCCCACTGAGAGGACCCTGAGAGCCAATCTCTCCTCCTAAGAAACCCAGGGTTCACAAAAGGAAGACTGAAGCCTGCGCCTCTGGAGGACTCTGAACCCCGTCAGCTGGCGGCAGGGAGGCAGGGGGTTCTGCCCAGAGGTGGAAGGATGGACCACAGTGGTCATTCCCTATTCTGGGAATTCAGGACTCCAGCTGCTGCTCAAACCCTTTTAAATAAGCCTCCTGGGCATTTGTGACTCCACAGCCCCCCCTGGTGTTATTCAGAAACTAGGCATGGGCTTGGTCAGCCGGGAGAGATGTGGAGACCCTTGGGAGGGCCACTTCCTCTGAGAGAGGCCCTGCCCGTGTCTTAACTGTCTCAGGTGCCTCTGGCACACACGGTAGTGAAATGAGAAGATTTCAGTCTGATTCAAATGCTGGCCCCTGTCGCCTACTGACTAAGACATGGGTGAGCCTTTTAAATTCTTTGCGCCTCGATTTCTTTATACGTTAAAGGGGACATGGCACAGGGCCATTGTGAAGACTAAACAAGCTGATGTGTGAAAAGCACCTGATGTGATGCCTGGCACATAGTAGGCCCTCAGGAAGTGGTCCTTTGCCCTTCAGCTTTTCTTCCTAGCCCCAGGAGGCTGTACCCAAACTCCGGGTGGCACATGTTCGCTGGGCCTGAGCCAGGCAGTGTCAAAGAGGTGACGCTAATTTTTCTGGAGCTCTTCCACTCCAGTAGAGGATCATTTTAATAAGTTCATAATAATAGATGCAGAGGTGACTCAGATCTGCAAACGAGGAGTCCTGCTGGGGAGAGGACATGGGCTCTGGGGGAGGGAAAGTCAGCGGCATCTAGATCTGATGCTGCAGCGGGAAAGGCTCCAAACAGGGGGGCCCGGGAACCCTAGTTAGCCCTTCAGATTGCTATAGGTTCTCCCCTAAGAGGCCTCAGTTTCCCCTTCTGCGAAGTGTGGGATAGCTCCAAGTGACCTCCAAAGTCCCTACCACGCTGGAGATGTGCCTCTGCTTCCTGAGCCCCGCTACCTGCAGCAAGATTTGTAACAGCTTTGGAGACCATTCTGGCTGGCCCGTCCTGCGGGGCACTGCCACGTAAGCTCCTCTGTGATCCTATAACGTGCCCACCTGCCCTCCCAGAGCCCAAGGAGAGGCAAGGCTCTCAGGCCATGGTGGTTTATTGATGCACATCAAAAGCACAGCACAGGCGAGCGTGCCCCAGCAAGGGGCAGACGGGGGGCCAGAGGAGGGCAGCGGACCACCCCCATAACAATGCTGCCGACAGAGGGGAAAAGGGCCTGGGGGCCCATGTCCTCTCCTCCACACATCTCCAAGGCCCCCAAACCTGATCCATACCACAGAGACAGCTGACCGCACCACTCCTTATGGCTACAAAGAAGGCGACCGGCTGTCCCCCCTGCCCCTTACCGAGATATGGCCTTGTTGGCCTGCCGTCTCCTTCTGTCCTTCCTCTCAGAAACCTGGCTGTCACTGTGGGGGCCGCTCTCCTCTACCTCCATCATCCCCAAATAGCCAGTTGCCTCCATCGACACCTCACCCTGTCACCCCACCTGGTCCGCTTGTCTCAGGGGGTCCACCCTCACCACCCTCATGACCCATACAAAAGTAGGAAATAGGTAAAAATATTTTTAGGCTTAGGAAATTCTTCAGTGAGAGCTCCCCAGGGAAGAGGCTCAAGGAAGGGGCGGAGGGGGTAAGGATAGTGCCAGTGGGCAGGGGCACAGGGTAAGGTGGCAGGGAAGCCACAGTCTGGATTACACATAGGCACAGTGCAGTCACGGCACCATGGCAGAGAGAGCGAGCAAAGTGCACAGCCGGGCGGGCGCCGGGCCTCTGTGGGAAAGTTCTTGGGTCTAGTTCCACAGCAAGTCCCCTCAGGGCGGAGGCAGCCCACTCCTGGCTGAAGAAGGGGGTCCCTCTGGGTCTCAGGGGTGTCCTTCCCCCTCCTCGACCTCAGTGGCTGCCATTCCGGGCCCCAGTGCTCTCAGCAAGGAAGAAGGTCTGCGGGAGTCTATATCATCTCCAGATATAGGAAGGGAAAAATACCAACAGCCTGGATGCCCCAAAGCCAAGAACAAAAAGAGGGCCCCTTTCCAGAGCACAGGTGACAAGGGGGGTACAACTCTCCCCATGCAGGAGGAGGTGCTTTAAGTCAAGAGCAGCTGGGGTCACAGCAGTGCAGGGGACTATTTATAGGGGGGAAGGGCCAGACCTTGAGTAGGGAGCCCTGAGGCCCAGCTAAGCGGCGAGGGGCATCCTGTGGTGGACCTGAGTGGGGTGAGTGGGGCTAAGGAAGAGCACCCCACAGCTCTCTGTGTCACCTCTGGAGGCAGGTAAGCTACACGTGGGCTTTGCCCTGGAGAGGCTTCCCGGGGCGAGCCTAAAGGCTACAGTCTCCATGAGATGGAGGCCTGGGATTAAGCAAGAAACAGCAGGACACGGACACCAGAGAAAAGGGGAAGTCTCCAGAAATCCCAGCCCCCACCAACCTACTGAGGTTAAGAGCCTCTCCAGGTCTAGTGGGCATGAGTGGGCTGCGCCCACCAAGGGGACCACCCTCTGTTGCCTCTAATGCCAAGGGGTGAGGGAGGGGGAGACTGATGGCAGGGAGGAAGCAGGGGGACAGGGGAAAGAAAGCCAGCTCCCTGAACCGATGCCACCCAAGCCTGCCCTGCCTGTCATCACTCCCTAGTCCCCCAGCTTCCCAGGAGTCCCTAGCGGCCCACGCTGATGTTGCAGGTCTTGCAGCTCGGGTCTTTCTTGGCATCAGCAGTGGACAGGCTCATGAGCTGGTGGCCGCTGATCTCCCCCAAGGTGCCCAGGGACAGGTCAACAGGCTCGGTGTAGATGACTTCCAGGATGAGGTCCTGGGCGTGGCGGAAGACCAACTCCCCGTCCTCCACGCTGCAGGTCAGGAACTTGTTGCAGGCAATGTCCAGGAGGGGCAGGCGGTCTCGGCAGAAGCGGTCCCCCAGGGAGCCCTTGGGAGCCAGCACCAGGATGGCGTAGTGGTAGGCCGTGTACATACAGTAGAAGTCCGCAAAGTAGAGGTTGGTGCTGGGGTTGAAAAGGCGCTGGGCGGGGATTTGGAAGCGCCAGCGGCCGTAGGGGGAGTCCTGAGGGGGCTGGCCCGTGTTGAACTCCGTGTTGCAGCTGAAGAAGACGCCGTGGAGCATGCCGCTGGTCGGGGAACCGTGGCTGCCGCTGTTGTCCTTCAGGTAGGGCTGCAGCATGTTCCCGCAGTGGGTCCTACCCCCCCAGGGGAAATGCCAAAGGGAAGGGAAAATGCCACTGGTTAGCTGGGCTGAGGCTCGGCTGCTGTGTGCAGTGAGAAGGGAGCCAGCCCAGCTCCTGGCTCTCCCACCAACCGCCGCCTCCACCAGTCACAAATAGAACTTCCCAGAACGAGAGTAGGGAGGGCCCTGGAGATGGGCTGATCCAGCCCACTCCTTCACAGAGGAGAGGTCTGAACCTGCTGTTCCCCAGCTTAAAACCCGCTGATGGCGCTCGAGTGAAAAGCAAGGCCATCACGATCTGGTCTTTCTGGCTCTACCTCCTACCACCCCCACACCCACAGGTGACATGGGAACCCCACCCAGCTCTTTTCTGCCTCTGTGTCTGCATTGCTCTTCCTTCTGCCTGGCTGCCCTTCCTACCTTTCTCCACCTGGCCTGGCAAACTCTTATTCATCCTTCAAGGCCCAGCACAGGTGTCCCCTCCTCTCCGAAACCTTCAAGGAACATCAGGCACTTACGTTCAACAAAATTTTGATTGCCCATTATGTGCAGGACACTGAATTTTAGTCAATGATCGCACATACTTATCACATTCCATCCGTCAGTACTGTTCCCTGACAGACTCTGAGGTTTTCGGAAAGGGAACTTTATTCATCTAAAGATGGCACCCTGGCACATATGGGTGCTCTCTCTCTCTTTCTTGTTGGCTGATAGAGAAACCCAAACTGAGCCAAAGCCCTCCCCACTCGCCTCACTGCCTTCCCTCTTTAGTACGAACAACAAAGACCCCTGAGGCCTCCACTGCCCTGGGGTCGGGGCAAAACCACCTTCCCGGCTGATGCAGTGATAAAGACAGCACTGGCGGCAGCTTGCCCTGGCCTGGCCTTAGACAGAAATGGACTTGGAGCAGTGTCAGCAGGATGGGGAGGATGGGCAGCCTGGTCCTGGCTCTCCTGAGTGACTAGTGACATGCTGGCTTTCTGGCCTCAGGCTCCCCATGTTTCGGCTGAGGGTACTAGGTGGGATCATCTATTGGCTAGAGCATTTTTGGATGAGAAATCCTCTCTCTTTTCCCAAAGAAAATTATACATAGGCAAGCCGTAGGCAATAAAAGCAAAGCTTCTCAGGTTGAATGATAGATGTGGGTTTCACCAAGTCCCATCCTTGGATTTCCTGGACAAGCCCTCAGCACCACCCTAAGAGCTGCCTGAGATGCGCCCTGGAGCCTCAGGCTCCCCAGCACACAGTGTGAAGACCGCGACCCTTCACGCTCAGAATCCACTTACACCCTGTGCCCACCTCAACTCCTCCCCTCGGGACCCAGCGCCTGAATTGGAGAGATAGCTGAGCTGCCACATTAGAACCCAGTGACAGGAACCACCCCCAAGGAGGGTCCCACCCAGGACCTCACTTGCTCAGGCCTGTTGGCACGGCACCCCAGGTCATCCCGAGTACCCTCTCCTCCCCTGGAGCCCAACCCCAAGCCACTGGCTGCCCCCCAGGGCCAACCAGTAACGGGATGGCATGGAGACTCCATGAAGAGGGTCTGGCAACTGACAGGGTTGGGGTGACACCAGACGGCCTGGGCGGCTGAGGCAGCTGTGCTGAAGGAGGAAGGAGGGACCCGGTGGGCCACACAGGGCCTCGCGCACCTGGCGTGCTGGAAGTACTCCTTGTGATGGTTGCGGTAGAAGACGGAGAAGCGCAGCATGCGGCCAGCGATCTGCTCGGCCTTCTCCTGCAGCTGTGCCAGGTGCTCCTTGGCATAATCTGCAAGAGTGCAGGTGGGTGAGATGAGAGCTGGGCGGGGACCACAGCCCGCCCTCGTTCCTGCCCCCCCCACACGCACACATACACCAGCCCACCTCTGTGCTCAGAGCAGCAGGGAGCACCCAACAGCCACAGCACCTGGGACCACATGAGAATGGGCCAGCTGGATGCTGTCTGTCCTCATCACCTCTGCACCTCAGTGCCAGAGGCCCCAAACTCTCTGCGTCAGGCAAGGGCAGGGCTGCCCAGTTATACAATCATAATGGGCAGGCAAAAGGACTGAGAGGAGAGAATTTGAAGTTCTTTAGGGACAATCCCTTGAACCCAGCGGGTAGAAGGCTGCCCCCACAACCATGGGGAAGCCAGTGGTCATTACAGGCAGGGGCTCATGCAACCCTTTACGCTCAGAATCCGGGGTAAGTGTTTAGGCAGACCGGGTCTGGGGTGATGACTCCACTTGAGCATCCAAAGAAAAGCAGAAAGGCCTGGAAACAGAGTAGTGAAACTAGACCCTCCCGGGAACCGAGGACCCAGGCAAGGCTGCTGCTAGCTTAGACAGCACCTTTGTACAAATTAGGAAAAGGTCCCCTTTCCTCCTAGCTGATGCAGCTCTGGCCAGGGTGCTGGGTTTGGCAAGAGGAGTGTGGACTGGACTGCAGCCATCCCCAGCTCCCTTGTTTGAATTAAACTCCCACTACACATGGAGTTCTGGGGTAAAAAAAAAAGGGAAAGGGAGCACGTCCAGAGAGTGGGGTTTGCAGCTTAGCTAAGAAACAGCGCCACTCAAAAGAGAACAGCAGTTCGAGGAGATGGGGCACAGAACTTGGCAGAGGGTAGAGCCAGCAGCCTCACAGGCCCGGGGCTAAGAATGTCCCCTGCCCCTTCCTTGTGACAGAGAGAGATCTAGGGCAGTTCTCATCATGGAACATCATGGGGCAGATCCTGGGTCATCAGCGACCAAGTACGCATGAGCCTGGCGTTTGTTCGTGCTGGAATTTGCAAGCTAAGTTCTGCTAAGAAAGTTCACGGGACCACTGAATATGGCTTATTTCCCCGGGCTAAGTGGAGGCTCAAGACAAGCAAACAGTGATTGCTCCATGAAACATTATTCATCAACCAATGATCAATTAAAAAAATGCGGTCTGGCCACACCATGCATATTATTCCACCTTAAAAAGGAAGAAAATTCTGACACATGCTACAAAATGGATGAACTTTGAGGACATGATGCTAAGTGAATAAGCCGGTCACAGAAGGACCAATACTGTGTGGTTCCCCTCACACGAGAGTGGTCAAATTTACAGACAGAGGTGGAATGGTGGTTGTCAGGGGCTAGAGTGAGGGGAGAGGCGGAGTTGTCATTTAATGGGTACGGAGTTTCAGTGTAGCAGGATGAACACGTCCAGGAGATCGGCTGCATGCTAGTGTGAATGTACGTAGCACTTCTGAACTGCACACTTACCAATGGTTAAGATGGTAACTGTTACATTATGTGTATTTACCAAAATCCAAAAACGTATGTTTGGGCCAAGCCAGAAAAGTAACTCCATCCCTTTATGGAAGTGGTGTTGTCATCATGATTAGCCGTGCTCACGTCTGCCTCCTGCATCAGGCTGCAGGCTTTTAAGGGGTAGGGGCAGGTCTCCTCCACCTGTGTCTCCCCAGTGGCCTAAGCCTGGTGCTGGTGTACAGCAGGTGGTCATAGTGTTTTCTAGGTTAAGACGAAACCCTCTCCTGAGCATAATTAAACTGGCTGTGCCCACAGGAGGGCCTCACCCCCGGTGCAGAACTCGACCGTCTCGCTCCAGCCGGACACCAGGTACTCCCCGTCGCTCTGTTTCACAGCGGTCTGTACTGCCACACTGTACTCCGTGCGGGGGCTCAGGAACCAGTGGCCTCTCACCGTCATGGGCAGTGGCACAGCTTTGGCCACAAGCTTGGTGGGGACATCCTGAGATATGGGGTGCAGACAGAGAGCCAAGAGTCAAACTGGGGGTCATGCCCAATCTTGGCATTCCCTCAGACCTCCACCCCCGGGTGGCCCATGCCTCCTGAGTAGGGCCAGAGTCTTAAGGATTCGATGGCTCAGTGCCCTGGACACCATTTTTCTGCAGAAGCAAGCAGTGGCCACTGGGAAGACCTTACCGATACTCCCCAGCCTCCACCCCTCCTTAAGGCCTGTTCTCTTGGGAACTAAGGAGAAACGCCACTGGGGTGGAGGCCTGCAAAGTTGAGGGTGGTGAGACCTCTATTTTCGAGGGAGACTTCGAGAGCTCTGCACACTGCAGTGCCGTCTCCACGGCAACGGCCAATGCTGAGAAGCCAGGGAGGAAGGGAAAATATGCCTTATTCTTTGGGGGGGGGGGATGGTTAAGGGGGTGGTGTTGAACATTCACGTCACCGTGGCAACTGGCCTGCCAAAAGACACCCAGATCGGGGAGCCAGTTCTAAAGAGAGAGAGGGTGAGTAACCCACATGATGCCGTCGTCGTGGGAACCGGCTCCTTCCCACCTCACTCTTCTCCCTGCCTTTCTGCCAGCGTAGAAGATGGGAGCCTTCTTCCCGCTGGCCCCCAGAGCAGCTTTAACCCAGGGAAAGGACACCCCAGCCAGCAAAGGACTCTCTCACGTTCCTTTTCTAAACCCAGCAAATAGGCCAGAAGGCCAGGGGTAGAGAGGGTCACAGAGGCCTGAGGGGGATCATTGAGGCCCCAGCAAAGGGCCCCACCCCTGCCCATGGGCCACGTTGCACCCAATCAACAACAAGGCTGCTTGCAGAGTCAGGGGCCGTGCCCAGGTGAGACGTCGCGGCCCTGCCCTGGGTTTTCTCGAGCCCCGGTCTAGCACCCCAGTCATGATGCTGGTAATAGTGTTCGGTTTGCTGAGCCCTGAGCCAAATGCCACACAAACAGTACCTCACAGAAGCCTCTCACCAGCCCACAGGCGCTGGCAGCATCATCATTCCCTTTTCACCAGTGAAAGAACTCGGGCTCAGAGAGGTTCAGTAGCTTTCCCAAGGTTGCACAGTAAAAAGAGCCTGGATTGGAACCTGGCCTCTGCAAACCCACAGCTGTCACCTCCAGGCCCTGTGTTATCCTGCCCCGCCAAGAGCAGGTGTGGGGGAAGTAGCGGAGGCTCTGGCCTCCCTCACTCACCCGGTGCTTGAACTTGTTGGAGTTCTTATTCTCCTTCTTGTTGAGGTCGATGAAGTAGTGGGTGACCCTCTCCAAGTCACTGTTCTCCATGGCCCAGGAGATGCGGAAGGAGTCACAGGTGATGTTATTGACCTCGATGCTGTGGGGCGTGGACAGCAGTTCCATGCTCCCCTCCTGTTTGGCTCCTGTGGGGACTGCGGGGAGACGGAGAATCAGCACCTCCCTCCCCATCACGGAGTTTTCTGGAATGTCTTGCTTGCTCCCAGCATCCTTTGCGAGGCGGAAACTTGAGGACCCATTGATTGCACCTGCCCCATCACATCTGACGGAAAGATTACATGAGGAAGGCTAGAGGCGGGGACCGAAGGTGGGATGGGGTGTCCCCCACGGGGGGGGAACTTGGCTCTCCTTGGAGGGGTCTGCAGAGCAGACGGCACCTGACAGGTGGCAGAGGCAGTGGGGATGCTGCAAACGCAAGGCAGGACAGATTCGCAGCAGATGGAGCCGAGGAGGGAGCCCTCAGCAAGCAGGCGTGAAAACGAGAAAGGGGTGGGGGTGGAGAGAACAGTGCGAGGTGCAGGAGAAACAGGAAGCACCCACCGAGGAGATGGGGGTCAGGGTGCAGGCAGGCTTAGGGCACCAGCAGCCGAGAGGCCAAGGGTGCCAGGAAGGGTACCAGGGCTCCGGGGCTCAGGCCCCCCTCCTCTCTGGGGTGACCCCGCAGAGGTCACCATGACATAGGGCTGGGCGTGCAAGTGCCACAGAGACACACGTGGATGCACTGGTGTTGGGGGGAGGGGCGCCTATCACAAGCCACAGCCCTTCTCCCACCCCGTAACTTCTACTATCCCTCGTTCCCTCTCGGCCATCCTCTACTGCTTTACTTTTTAAAATAATTAGTTTTACCTTTTTACATCTATTGCAGCTGACTATGTACTAATAATTTCATAAACACCATCTCATGCAAGCTCACAGTAGGTAGATACTATTATTATCCCCGTTTTACAGATGAGGTAGCTGAGGTTGGGGGGTACTAAGGTGCCAAAGTCCATACAGCTAGAAAATGATTTGGACTCACGTCTCTGACTTCAGAGCCCAAGCTCTTTATCATTGAACTAAGGTTGTGTCTCCTCGCGTGAGAGTGGGTGTGCGCGTGTATGTCACAGGTGTCACGTGTGTGGCATATGCGTATGCACAGGTACACATCGTTTCCCGCTATTTATTTTTCCTCCTCCTGTCCTTCTCTTTTAAGCAATGGCATTTTCTCTCACCTCCCCTTCTCGCTCGTTCACTTCTTCCCCTGGCTGCTCTTCCAGGTGTAAAAGGACCACATCACCATCACTCTCAACTGTGCTCAGCGAGGAAGCGCGGACTCTGGCCCTGACTTCGGCCTGGCTCATTAGAGCCCTGGGGAGCAGGGTGGGGAGGGGAGAGGGAGGGGAGAGGGAGGGGAGAGGGGAGAGGAGGGGCTCTCTCTCTGGGACAAGAGCGGGAGTGCGGGCTGGACTTTCTCCCAGTGGAATCCACACTCCCCCGTTCTCCCTCAAGCCCAGCCCCAGCACACCACAGGTCCCTGGAGTGTCAGCTCCTTTTCAGCTCCTCCCCTCTCCCTCTCCCTCCTCGCCCAGGTGCTAAGGGTGAGGGTACCTCGTGCCTTCAAAAACAGTACTTCTATTTGTAGCTTCCAAAAAATCCAACCCACACTCTCCTGTCAATTAAGCCTGCTCCGGAGCCTGGCAGCTCTAAATTAATCCATAGGCTGCCTGGGTGGCAGGCACAGGGTGAAGAATATGAGTGATGGCCCTTACCTGTCCCAAGGTGTCACCTGTGTTCTTGTTTCATTTTAGCTTCCCACCCTAAAGTGTATGCCTATCTGTTGAGAGGTTCGGACAAATGTCAGTGGCTTCATGCACAGGGAATTCTTGGTAAATAAGCATGGGGGTGCTACTGGGTTCACCCCAAAATTAAACAGAATGGATTGGGTGTCTAGAAACAACTGCACAGTAATAAACCAGTTTGTAATTCACAGGGACAGGTGTGGAGCAGTGGAGAGTTGCCGCCCCCTGGGCTCCCACTGAGCTTCTCCCCAGGAAGACGCACGTGTGCCCCCACGTACACACACACGCAGCCATGAACACGGGCACAGCAACACAGACACGTCCCACCCCAGGGAGGGCCTGAGCAGCTGCCTCCCACTCACACGGAATGCAGTCCACACCCCCACTACGGGCGGCCACTTGTTCCTGCCTCAGTCTCCCAGAAACAGGGCATCCGTGCTTGGTGGCGGGGTCTCCAGGACCAGCTCATCCTTTCCCCTCTATAGTTCTAGGAGAACTGAGACTACTTCCCATGCGAGCTTGGGAGAGCGCCTTGAGTGACCCTCGGAGAACAGTAAAGCAGGGTCGACCAAGGGTGGGCATGAACTCCAGTTCTCCAAACCCAGATGATTGAGGAAGGGCAGGGTATGAGGGACAGGTTGAGGCAACACCTGAGAAACACCTACACTCCCATGTAAATCCACCCTGACCCAAGTATTCACACACCCACATGCAGGTGAGAGCGCGTGCGTGCACACACAGGCACCAAGTGTGCCCACCCACACCTGCCACCCACAGGATGCACACACCTTCTCAGACATTCTCATTCCCACACACTCACCTACGCACTCAGGTACTTTCTACCACTGTCCACATTCTAAGAATGTCCTGCAATGTTCCCTCCGCAAGCTGTCACTTCCACGCGGACCCACGCATGAACATGTTCACAGGCTCATGCACACACATATGCATGCGACCTTCTCACAAGCCATATTTGAGGGAAAAAAGAAACCACAGGCACCAACATGCATGCATGTCAATTAAACCTCCATAGAAAGCAGGCACCCCATACGCCTGTTTGCACTTCCATGTACACTCACACACACGTCGACCTCTGCCCACATTCTGGTATTCACTCTCAAGTCTTCTCCAGGCTCAAAGACACAGACTTTGAAAAGGTGTTTGTCTCTGGACACACTGCCAGCCCTGAACCGTCACATGCCAACAGGTTTGCACACCTACGCAGCTCTGCCCACAGAAAGGGGCTTCTGCCCACACTCTCCACCTACCTACCCGCTTCTGCTCCAGAGTCACACCTTCCCACATAGAAACCCTCCGTCGATATGTACTCCCACACACATGACAAGCGATATGTCCACTCCATAAATATACTGCTTCGCACTGTCCCCTCCTACGTGTACCCACAAGCTACTCCGATAAGTGATTCCCCACACATGTGCCTCACATGTACAAGAAACATATGTTGTTAGACATGCCACACAGCAGTCAAAACCCACACATGAGCATAACTGCACGCAGACAGAACTATCTACGCAAGCAATCCTCCAGTCTTCTCGAAAGCATGCATACACCGTGCACGCACTGACACCCTTTGCCCATGCCCATTCAGAAAAGCCACTGCATGCCAAAGGAAAAGCTGTCCCCCACCCCACCGTCCCTCTGGGCACCGCTGACTGCAGCAGAATGGTCACGGGGTGACTAGCCGTGGTGCCCCGGAGACTGGATCCAGCTGTTAACCCCGTGGCCAAGGGCCTGGGGGGAAGGGGACAAGGTCGTTGGCCCTGGTAATCCAGAGGGGCACGGCAGGCAGCATCAGGACCTTGGTGCCCCTGGCGTCTAGCCCCTGGCCACCCCGATTCCTCTCGGAATTGGCAGCAGGATGATCTTGGGAGGAAGGGCACTCACCTGGCTCCACCGGGCTCTGCAGAGGAAGACCTGGAAGGGAGGGAAGGGACAGCCCTCTGTGTGGATGGCCCCCCAGGCAGAGGGGCAGCTGCCAGACCCTGGGTCACAGGCAGCAGGGCTCACTGGCTCCTCTCGCTCCTTTTACGGCTGCCAAGAAGGTTTCTTCCATGCCCCGCAGGCAGCCCCTGCCTGCTCCGCAGCTCACCGCTGCCCCGGGAGAGGTGATGTTCCCAGCCGAGCGAGCGAGCGAGAGAGCGCAGGGAGACGCAAGAGCGAAATCAAAGCAGCGTGGAGGAGAGAGAGGCAGAGAAGGCGAGAAGGAACGGGAGAGCCAGACCGAATCTGGCTCCACCAATGGGATCGGTGGCTGCCCAGCGTCAGGTGACAATAAGCAAGCTTGGTCCCTGTTCGCCCGGGCTGGTGGGAGGGGGAAAGGGCAGAGGGTCTGGAAGGGAGCTCCTGGGATGTCCTCACAGGCAGAGGCGGTGGCTGCTCCCTTTCCTGTTCTTTCAGGAAACGTGCCCTTAGCAGAAGTCCTTCCAACACACCCTTACTTGGAAATCTCTCACTTGAATGCAGCCCCTAAACTTTAGGATTCTGGGAGAGGGGTGGGGCTTAGCCCAAGGGCTTTGGGGAGCTTAAGGCAAAAGTTCTGATTAAAGGGAAGGGGTATCTGTGCAAGGGCAAGGTCCAGATCCGAGGGGAGCTGGGGAGTGTGGAGAGGGTCTGTCTTAGTCTAGATCCTCTCCTTGGGGCCTTTCATTGACCAGTGGCTCCATTTTCTTACCAACTCTATCAAAAGATATCAGATCATAGCCCAAGGAACCCTAGTGGTCTAGGGAGAATCCTCTGGCTACATAGGTGTCCCCAGGGGAAGGGACAAGAGAGGGAAGTTGTGGGGCCATGAAGGGTATGCAGAGCCAAGAACGTGGGGGCGAGAGAGACACACAGAGCTTGGAGTGTTCACATCCCAGCCAACCATCTGGGCTCAGAGGAGCCGAGCCCTGAACACTTTGACCAGAAGGGGTACTGTAAAAGCCTCTCTTATCTGCAGGAGGCTTTTCTATCACCGAGAAATGAGAATCCTCAAGGAAGAACACTCAAGGAAATTTGAATCAAGCAACCGACAGGGAATATGCGCCATGTGGAAAAGCATGGGCTTTGCGGTCAGACAGGCATGGTTAAAATTCTTGCTCTATCACTTTCTAGCTGGGTGACTTTGGACAAGTTACTCAACCTCTCAGTCAGTTTCTTTATCTGTGAAATGGGATAATAACGCAGGCTTATTGTCATCATTGAATGAGATCAACACGTAAATCACTCAGCTGCGGACCTGGTATGCAAGAAGTGCCCAGTGACCTATCAGAGCTGTTTTCATTGCCATCGTATTGACAATGTCTGCCTGCAAGGAGTGCATAGTCT